GTCTCCCTTCACCCACTTTTCGGTTGTCTGTCCCCCAGGGAGGAGGTCACATATAGTTCCTTGTGGTATTTTCATATAATAGAATACTACTTAGAAATAAAAAGGAATGAACCAGTGATACTTATTACAACATGGAGTGTTGAGTAAATGAAGCCAGAGAGTGAAGAATATATGCTGTATGATTCCATTTATAAGAAGTTCAAAAACAGATAAAACTCATTATGACTCTAAAAGCTAAAATGGTGGTTATTTCTGGGGGACAGGGACTAGAAAGTGGGAATGAGGGAGCCTCCTGGGGTACTCTTTGTTTATGTCTGGGGTGTTCCATGTCTTGGTCTGGGCTGTGGTTACATATACATGTAAGCATTTATGAGACTCTGCACTTAAAAAAAATCTGCTCCTTACATTCTGGTCTTCTGTGTCTCTATTCTTATACAAATTCATCAAACATCATTGGTAGTACTACCTGTGAAAAATCAGCCCAGGTTTAAATACATACCTGTATTCAAGAAGGATCTGAGGGGGTTTAAGTGGAAGGATTAACAGCTTAGAAACGTGGGCAGGCATAATACCTGAGTCAGTATGAACACTGTGACAGCAGACCTGGAGACATTCTTACCTCTGGAATCCACAGCGAACAGCTAACATGAGCCCATTTATTCCCTGTCCTGTTGGCTTTCATGGCCCCACCTTGGTTTGGACAAAACATACATTGGGGACTAGTGCCCAGGACACAGGGGCGACACAACCAACTTCCTTCTGGTATCTTGAGGATGCCATAGCAAGCCTGGAGTTATGGGAAAGTGGGGTGAGGAAGGAGAATGGTTAACATCTTATATCTATTCTGATACACAGTCTGCTTGTAGATAAGAGAGGCAAATAATGCTAAACTCACATGCAGGATCTAGTAATTTAAAATACTCAAAAAGCAACTTTCATCATCTTTTAAAATATCAGCATGTCTTTGTCTATGAATATTGGCTTTAAAGATAATAGACTACTAGAAGGAAATACACCCAAAGACTAGCCCAACTGTTATGAGTGATTGAATTATTGAGTATGTGTGTGTCCATGCTTGTTTGGTAAAGCAACTTCAATGACTATGTACTGTAATCAGTCACTTATTTGTTGAACAAGTCCTACGTGCCATGCACTGTTGTAATCAAGGGGGAAAAAAGTTAGAAAAAAAGAACAAAGCCTCAGAGGAGTAATGAGCTAGTGTTTACAAAGCACCTAATGGAGTGACTGTGTATAAAACACACTCAGCAAATCACAACAATCATTTGCTCGGATTGAAGAAAAATGAACTTATGACTGAATCTTGAATTAAATAGAATATTACATTAACCACAATACTCCTCAATGAAATCAGCTTTAAATCGTTATGGAATGAAGTTGGAAAAATAAATGGCTTCCTGGTCGGGGGAGGAGGGATACAAACTTGTAAAACATACTAGATTTTCTTTTTACTCTAAGGTTGCCCATTCTTCCCTCTTTGCTGCTCTTTCAATATTAGTGACTAAACCAGGGGGTGTGTGACTTCCCGTATGGCCTGGCACATTCTACCACTGATTCACTATAGTAACTTCCGGGTCTCTCTGTCTAGCTCAGAAGATTCACCCTCAACTCATATTCAAGTTATAAGTTACTCATCATGCCCCACACCCAACTTTGTTACTTTCCTAAACTCCTCCTGTCTACATCACAGTGCTTTCTATCTTCCAGTTACAATTCCTGCACTCGCATTATCGACTTTTCTACATCTCTACTGCTCCGATTGTTCCCCATAGTGGCTCCTAGTCTGACCTTCTCTATTCCTACCATAATGGCTCCATCCAAGTTCTCATCACTCCTTGCTTGGACTGATTTAGTTCTAACTTCTTGTCCTTCTTTTATATACCTTCGACTCTTCCTCTACACAGCTTCTATATTCTTCTAAGACAAGGATTTCACGCTGCCACACAGTGGCAAACCATCCAGGAATATCTTCTGCATCTCTACCCTCTAAATCCAAAACAGAGGCTGGGAAACCACTGCCTTCTTTGTAAAGCCTACAGAGCTAAAAGTGGTTTTCACATTTTTAAAGTATTGTAAAAAATAAAACCAAGAATATATGACAGACCATCTGTAGATAGCAAAGTCTCAAATATTTACTCTCTGGTTTTTCAAAGAAAAGACTTACTGACCACACACCTAAACTCAGCTGCCCCTGACCTCGCCTTTTCTGCCCTCATGCACCAACCAACACAAAACATAAAGCCCTTGCCTCAGATAGGCAGGTTTCCTGGTTTTCCCATAACTCATCTTTCTAATTCTCATTTCCATGTACCTGTTTAAGCAGTCTTTATACTCTGCATTGTCAGCTACTCTTTGTACAGCTAGACCCTTCTTGACTTTCACACCTGGCTCATACATCAGGCCCTTCTAAGAACCATTCTCTGGTGACTGTAGCCCCTTGTACTTTGCCACTCTCAAAATATCTAATTCCAATCTCCAAATCCCATTATCACCATAACTCTATGTGATCTTGCTGGTCATGCAAAACGCATTTTGCTCTATTCTTGCTGTTGTGTTTTATCTCTTCAGTGAGATTGTGAGGAAAGGTCAGGAGGCCATTATCAATTTATCTAGAATGAAGCCTATGCTGAGCTCAAGTAGGTGGTTTGGTTATTGGTGGTGACAGCTGCTACTAAGCTGGCCTCTGCTTTATGGTGGTGACTCCATGTAGTAGAGTAGAACTGCTCCATAGGGTTTTTCTTTAATCTTTATAATTTCCCAGCCTTTTCTTCTGGGGAGCTGCTGGATGGGTTCAAAACACCCACCTTTTAGTTAGCAGCTGATCCTAAAGTATTTGTACACCTTTGGTGGTTTTGTAGAGTAAGACAACTTAACTCAAGAATTAAAGCTGGGATCTGATTGATCAGGCTGCTCTTATGATAGTAATAATTGGTAAGATTCTTAACTTTTTAAGATTACCCTTCTCTGAAGTTCAGAATTCTTACTAGGAAATAAAAGCAGGCTTCCTCACAAAGATACCACCTTTTTCAGACCAGTAGAAGAAAGACTAGTGGTTAGTTCTCAGAATGCCCTTATCTCCTTGTCATTTTACTGGACAGAGACCTGACAGAAAATTGGTCCTTCTGTAGACTAACCTATAGTCATAAAATGATAGAAGCTTGTGTTCCATGGTAGTGGTTCTCAACTTTTTCTTCATAAAATTACATACATGCATTTAAATGCTTTATATCAAGTTTCATGGATAGCAAAATCAGTGCCCAAAGTAACTATCTATCTATCTATCTATCTATCTATCTATCTATCTATCTATCTATCTATTAGATAAAAGGTATAAGAACATTCACGTTTTGACTTCAGGAAAATTAATTCAGGCATCAATTTCAATATCTGAGCTAAGAATCAGAAAAATTATATACACTTGGAGGGATCTGGTATGATCCCAAGTTTTAGTTTTTGAATGAAAATTTAAGCTCCCTAAAATCTAAAGTCAACAATGTAAACATGTCTTCTAAAGGAATGAGCATAATTGTATTATCATAGCTGAAGAACACGGAACATAATAATGTGGTGACAGTAAAAAAGAAAAATTATGTTTAGTAAATTAATATGTCAACCTGTCTCCATTATGTTAAGGAATAAACCAAACTTTCCAAATAATTTAAGTCACACTTCATTCAACAGAGGGAGCTCTAACCCAAGTATCTCTTGAGAATACAAAGAAACCTGGAATGTCCTCACTTCAGAGTCTCTCTTACATAAAACTTTGTGGCGCAAATGGCCTAGCTTTTAATACCTGCTAGCTTATATTCAGCAAGACTTCTGTCAGTTGTTATTGTCACCTATTTCTATCTGGGGAAGAACATAATTTGTAGTCCTTACTAAGTAAGTTGGTAAACCTTTGGTGAGAATTATCATGGCAAACCTTTGGTGAGAATTATCATGCGCCATTTAATTTTGTGAGTCACAGAATCTTATAAAACACCCCTACAGTCCTTAATGTTTTATCCCATAGGTAAAGGAAAAAATAGAAAATATATATAGATGTCTTTTTGTATCATTGTCCTCAAAGCTACTAAAAGCTCACATATCCTTATTCTGAAACCCTTAGTAAGAGAAACATTAGATTAAAAATTGTTTGGCTTTTAAGTAAGTACCAAAGTATATATGGTAGTATATATGAGGGGTACCCCCCCCAAAAAAAAACAAACAAACAGGGAAAAAGCTCTGCTGGGCAGAGCTTTTGTAGTACACATTCCCACCACCCCTCCCCGGCTAGACCAACATCCAGCAACTCGCTCCCAGTTAGCGTACCCAGGGGCGTTGCCTGGGAAGGTTCTCTCTGGTCACAGTGAATTTTTTCGTAAAAGCAGTTTCGTTTGAACCTTGTTTTTTGTGATGACTGATTTAAGAGAACAATGTCACTGTGGCTGTGAACTTTTGTTTCTTCCTGCTTAAGAAAAATGCCACAGAAACTGCTGTGATGTTGAACACAACTTACAAGGACAGCAGTATGGGAAAAACTCAAGTGTACAAGTGGTTTTCTCATTTCACGAGAGGTGAAATGTCAATGACAAACCTTGTTCTGGACGTCTGTCAACTTCCCAAAGAGACAAAAATATTGACAAAATTCATGTACTGTGCTCAATGACTGATGAGGGACCATTGAAGAGAGGGGAAGTTATCTGGGCTATATTGGAACTCAGTTCAGCAAATTTTAATGAAAGATTTGGGAATGAGAGGTCGCTGCGAAATTTGTGCCTTGGGCTCTGACTGACCGGGAAAAAGAGTGTCTTGTGGGAGCATGCTGTACTTTCAAACAGCTCCAAAGTGACACAGACTTTTTCCCCACAAGGTCATTAATGGTGATGAGACATGGTGCTATTCTTACAACCCTGAAAGCAAATATCCATCAAGCCAGTAGGAGATGCCATCATCACCTCATCCAAAAAAAGTTCGTCAAGTGAAATCAAAGATCAAGATGATGCTCATCTGTTTTTTTGATGTGAGGGGGATAGTGTATTTGGAGTTTGTGGGAGTTCGTTCTACCAGGTCAGACTGTTAATAAAGCTTTCTATTTAGAGGTTCTGAAAAGATTGTGTAACAGTGTGTGGCAAAAAATGCTTTATTTGTGGCAGATAGGGGGCTGGTTTTGTTACAACAATGCAACTGCTCATGCAGCCATCTCACGGCGCCAGTTTTGGGCAAAAAACAGCATGCCTGTCTGCCCCATGCACCTTACTCACCTGACCTCACTCCATGCGACTTCTTTTTGTTTTCCATGAATGAAGAGGGACATGAAAGGACAGCAATTTGACAACTTAAAAGAGGTGAAGAAAAAAACTAGGGAGGTGCTGTCAGCCATCCAAACAGATGAGTTTGAAAAATGTTTCCAAGAATGGAATTGCAGATTTGACAAATGTATCAAGTGTAATGGAGAGTACTTTAAAGGTGATAAGGTTGTTTTGTAAAAAAAAAAAAAAATAAACGCATAGCTTCGAAAAAAGTTTCCATTTTTGGTACCCCCTCTAATGTGTGTGTGTATATATGTATACATACACACATATGTACATACTAAAGTATATATGGTAGATCATCTAATCCTCCAATGAGATCAGGGGGCAGCACCTTAAATCAAATATGTTAATATATTTCTTAAAAAAACAACAACAGTATTTATAGAAAATGGAATAAAAGCTATAAACACCATCAGATGAAGTGAGTTCTGGTGGTATCCTCAAATCATCTTTAAGGTTAAATTTAAGCAAAAACATTTAAGAACTTTTATATTTTTGGAATTAAAGAGAAGAAACTTGGACCTGCTGTCAGATACTTAAGTTCATACTGAAATCATGAAGTTTTTCTTCTCTTACTAAAAGTGTGGCAAATACTTAGTAGAGTGAAGGGAATCTTGAAAATTGATTACTTTAAAAGACAGGAATTTAACTGGTCAGAGAATATTTAAGTATCGTTTACATACAAAAGTGGCGTATGGAATTAAAAGAAATTTTAAGCCTTAGTTCTATCTCCTACCTATGTTGTCTATCTAACCAATCTAGTTATTCTGTAGGCATAATAATATTTCTAAAACACACAAGCCAGATCTGTTTGAGTTGAGACAAAATCAAAGCTCCTTTGTTAGCAATATGTCTTCATAGTTGTCTCTCTCTACCGCTTTCCTATCCTATCCACTATACTTTTTAGTTCGGGATCAATGAGAGTTGCCCACTATCATTACCATGTAGGAACAAGTTTTCCTCTCTCCCTGAACAAATTGCTATTTTCCCTGGTAGCTTCTTTTGGTCATTTAAAATTGGGCTTGGATGCCATCCACTGGAAGCTGTCCCTGACCCTATCCCCATGCATTTTCAGAAGCAGGGACTTATGTATCAAAATACTTGGCATGAAACTACTATGCCAAATTGGCAGTCCTTGCTCCAGACTATGATCTACTTGAAGGTAAAGATTTGTCTACCTCTTACTAATTGTTTCCTCAGCATGCAGCACAGTGTGCATACAGCTATTGTTGAATACCACTTAAGTACTGGATTGATTAATGAAATGAATAAAACACACAACAAGCTCAAAAGAGTGAAAAATCACTTAGGATAGGGGAGCTCAAAAAGGAGCTGATGTAGTTCTTGGAAGATATGTAGATTTTGGGGAGCTGGAGGTGGGAGAAGACTTTTTAAACTGCGGTGTAGTTCAACCATGGTGACAAGAGAGCAATCTTTGCCACTGGACCTTTAGAACCTTGTTTAGCTAGAGCATAGGGCTTGTGGACGAAAAGAAGAGCTAAAAAGAATACTGATCTCATTATCATGACTATTGTTAAGTAAAAGGTCAATGTGGTAGAAATGACAATAACTAGCTATGAAAGCTTAGATACGTCATTTAATCTTTCCTGGTATTATCTATAAATTTGGGGAGCTGATAGAGTCTTAAAATTCTATGCTCTTTTCAAAGTGGATTAGACATAGCTTCCTGGGAATGATACATTTAGGGAATGGGGGAACCAGGATAAGGAGTTCAGACTTCCATTTGATGAAGTAAAAACTCATCATGGGTATAACCTGATAAAGCAACAAGATTGTAAAGCCTGAGGAGAGACACCCAGAGGCAGTAAACAGTACACTGAAGAAGGCATTATCATTGGTCTGGGCATAAAGTGACACAATAAAAACCCGGGCTTATGTCTGCTCTAGAGTGAAGTTAGCAGTATGCCACCTTGAGGATCATGAAAAAGTATTAGTTTCTAGAGGAAAACTAAAGAACAGCTAAGACAAATCTTTTTTTTCTTTTTTTCACCCTGAAATGCAAGTGGTACCCAGGCATGGAGTTCATTACTGAGCTTCAGAAAGGCCGACTATAGGGAGGTAGTGATTTCCACCCTCACTAACCTGATGTACACAGATGTTACACCTATCACAGAATACCATATCATTTCCTTCTTCACTGTCTGGAGACCGGCATACATCACAAATTACATCTGCATCGTATTCTATCCCAAGCCCTTCCTGTGTATTAATAGCATGGTTCATTTTTTCATGGCAAAGGCATTCCAGGGCTTCCATTGCCTTTTCCATAAGAGTCTCATCAATTGTTACATAACCTGCAGAAAAATACAAACAATCAATCAACCCATAAGTCAGCTGCCATTCCCAAATCACCTACTGTGAGGCTAGTAACTGTGGTGTAAGGGATTCTAAAGGATAAATCATTTTTCTCATTATGCCTCATACTGTGATTTTCCTTCTCTTTTTTATTTAAAATTTTTTTAGATTTTCCTTCTCTTTATCAGTCTTTTATTCTATTCTTTGTGTTTTCCACCAGGAATTGACCTCCTTCTCCCTTTAGAGGTCAGAACAGGAAAAGACATAGGCTAAAGTGACACCCTCAAATAAAAATGCAAAGAGTAGGTATAGGTCACTAGCAGTATAACTAACTTTGCCATTCTAAGCAGAACAATTTTAATTTCCGTGTATTCACGTGTATTCAGCTGTATTCTCAAAATTAAGACAACAAAGGGGAGGGAGAACCCACTAATCCTTATTGGACTAATGATGACTGAAAGGAAATGATTGAAAAAAAGCAAAAAATACATCCTTTACCATACATCAAATAGACATAGAAACCACCCATACTTCCACAGGAATGTTAGCCCTACACATTACTCCGAATGAAGACTTATCAAAGGGAGGTGTGTGCAAATATAAAGTGAGTTTTCTTTAAGCCCAGCATCTTCTAGGACTGTTGGTATACATTGACTTTAACTTTATAATGTGTGCTTGCTGAATTTTTTGAGAATTGAATAACAACTCTACAACTCACTGGAAGTAGCTAAGAACTGCTATGGGGATAAACCATGGCCCTTCCATTCTTTCTCAAGGCAGCAAGATTATTTATTGTACTAGAATGCGGTCACAACAATTTTTCACTTGTGGCAGTGCCGAAGTTCCATTAGGTGGAGATGGCAAACCGTTGGCAGACGTGCCTCTACTTTTACTCTACTCACTGACCAGAGTGCTCATCAGGGCTGAGCCAGGAACCAGCCTCAGAATCTTTCTCAACCAAAAGTCCAATCAGCCGGGAACATGGTTAAACTTGGGAAGCAACCTTGTGAAACCTACTTGCCATTCCTGATCTGTGCTGTTCACCATGAATGAGAAAAGAACAGATTTAAATGTGATTGCTCTTTTTCAATATATTTATGCATCTGAAGAATGACTAAGATTCAAAGGAAAAAAAAGTCAGAGAAGAAAGTACAAGATGAAAGCAAATTAAACGGTCCTGACAACTTAAAAAGAAAACGGAAAGAAACCACAAGTTTAAATGAAGCACACCTACTTATGAGAAAACATACCCATTCCTCTAAGGATGCTATTCACATCTCGGAGCCAGTAGATGTCCATGTCATCTAGGTCATATCGGCATACAGCTGTTGCCATTTCTAGGACGCTGACAAAGCCAGGTTCCGAGGGCTCGGGACAGACGGAGTGAATGTACTTCCAGGGGCGAATGAAGCAAGTATCTTCTACTCTCTCATGTGGACCTATAATCCTAGAACAAAGAAGGGCATCGAAAAGAATGAACAAAAGACATATTCCAGGTACTGACAGGATGGACCCAACAGCACTCAGGCTGTGCAGTGGAGTTGGACACTTGTCCTTTCCACTCGGTTAAACTTCCTGGTTTACCCTCTGGCAGCTATGCTAGCTTCTCTTCTAAAAGAAAACAGTTATAAAAACGGTGTAGTGAATTCTGATTGCTAACAGTTTACTTAATTCACTCTCACGTAGCCTGGGTCCTGGGCCCCATTGCCATTCATTCTAAAAAGATTTTATATGTCCTTTAAAAAGACTTAAACTAGGTTTATTGGCATATAATTCACATATCATATAATGGTTCAAATATATATTAAAGAGTTGTGTGATCATCACCATAATCAATTTTTGAATATTTTTCTTAGCTTTCAATTTTTCCCTCAACTTCCCCTGCCATGCCCCTAAGTATTTTATTAAGTCAGTTACTGTTACTATAGATTTATCTATCCTGGATTTCATATACAGAAAATCATACAAAACACAAAGGGGAAGCAAAAAAATCCCACAACAGTGAAAAACAAAAGAGAAAAACCTCAATAGAAAACAAAGTAGAAAATATTTAAAACTGAAACAACTTAAAAAATGTGTCAAAAGAGGATCAAATGATAAGGTGTTACAGTTTAACCTAACTGCATCTGCTGTAATTGACTTTACAATGCACTCTCTGATAGCAATGATATTCAGATCTCTGGACTATGGGCAGAAGCTTAATCCTTATGGGGATCTGCAAATGGATTTTGAGGTTCCACTGTCATCCAGAGCCTTCTGCAAATTAGGTGTTCATAAGTCAAGCTCTGATACTATTCCCGCCCTCCAGATTTTAATTTTATTACTTACAATCCTTATGTAATTTTCTTAAAAGTTCTTCCTAGTAAGTCCCTCAATCGTCCCATGCCTTTCAAGAACATGTATTAAAATTATCCCCTTAAGAGTTCCTCAAACAGACACCATATCTTCTTTTTTTCCCCCCAAATAACTTTTAATTGTGAATTAGGAGGAGGTTTACATAACAGAGCATAATTTTTGTATTCAGCAATGTAAACTTGTCAAACCTCCAATGACCTGCCCTTTTCCTCCCACGTTTTTGTTTCATTTTGTTCGACTCTCTGTAGTAGGATATTATCTTCCCCTTCACCCAAGTTAACACTTCTAGCCTAATCCTTTTCCTCCTACCTCTAGTAAGAATAAATAATTCATTCTTTAATGATGCATACATAGTATTCCACTGTGTGTACGTACAAAAGCTTAATTACTCATTCTTCTATGATGGGTATTTAGGTTGTTCTTCTTGCAATTGTCAATAGTGTTGCAATGAACATGGATGTGCATATATATCTGTTCGTTGCTATGTCCTTTATTTCTATATGGTCTACACCAAGTAGTGCTATTGCTGGGCCATATAATTCTACTCCCAATTGTTTGAGGAAGTGCTATGAACAGATATTTAATCAAAGAGGATATATGAATACCAAATAGGAAAGCTCTGTTAAAAAAAAACTTAAGATGAGATCTTAGTTAAAAGACCAGTCTGGGAGTAACTTCATATCATATCTTAAGTAAATAAGCTTGAATTTATACAGGACATAAAAATATTAATTGAACTCCTCTGACTTTGGCAATTTGATCAAGGACATAAAGTCAAATTCTTCATCAATGTTCTAATTTCCTTTCCAACCAGAGACTTAACTTTTAAGATACTCTATAAACTTAAGAAACTTAAAATTAAAAAAAAGAAAAACTTAAAATCGTAAGACAGCAATGAACACTTGCAATTGAGGAGTCTAAACCAAACCCAAACCAAACTCACTCTCATCGAGCCAATTTCAACTCGCAACAGCCTTATAAGGAAAGAGTGGAACTGAGGTTGTAAAAATCTTTATGGGAACAGATAAGCTTCGTCTTTCTTCTGTGGAGTAACTGGTTGGTTCAAACTTGTGGTTAGCAGCTAAATGTGTATTGGTACATTGCCAAGGCTCCTTTAGAGGATATGAGGTATGCTGCATCATTAAGCTTCTAATATGGCTGACCAATGTTGAAAGCCAAGAGGGAAATCCAAGCAGCTTGACAAAAGTATAAAGATTTCTAACAAATCAGGAAATATGATGAGAATATTCTATAGCAATTTTTCTCAAAATATTATCCCTGGACTAGTAGTATAAACATTTTGCAGTAACTTGTTTAAAGGAAACCAAGCCCATTGCTGTCAGAGGCATAGTGGGGTTAAGCACTTTGGTTGCTAATCAAAACGTTGGCATTTCAAACCCACTAAACACTCCGAGTACAGTCTACTTCTGTAGAGATTTTCACAGCTTTGAAAACCCTAAGGATCAGTTTTACACCGTCTTAACACGATGAGTTGTAATTGATTCCCTGGCAATGGGTTTGGTCTGATCAAGTTCCTATATGATACTACTTGTCTAGATATCTTATTTCATACTAGCTTTGTGTTTGTAATACCTAGTCTCCTACATTTCAGTGCTCATTGTAGCTACTCTTGGCTCATCAATATAGAATACTCTGTTGTGGCTTATAGGGTTTTTCATTGGTTAAATTTCAGAAGTTAAGATTCTCAGGCCTTTGTTCCTAGTCTTAGCTTGAAGTTCCACTGAAACCGTTCCACCATGGGTAATCTTGCTGGTATTTGAAATGCTTGTGGCATAGCTTACAGAATGAAAGTTAACACAACTCACAGCAGTATGATATATTTACAGATGGACGGTAGACTGATCCCTATCTTAGTCTGGTATAATTTGCCACTAGTCTGAGAGAACATGGGTATATAAACTTTATATTCCAAATGTATAATTAACACTCAAAGTTTCTTCCCAAGCAGCACACAGATAACCACAAGAGCATTCATTTCTTAAGTCGAAGATGTAAGCATGAAATACCTGATAGAAGGCTCTGGGAGACTATCTGGATTTGCTGGTACCTGAACTCCCTTTTCCCATTCTTCTTTCCATGTATCCGAAAAGATGTAATAGCTGTCAGGATCAAGGTAATGCGAATCGGAAACTTTCATTGCACTAATGAGGTCCTTCCGAAATACCTGGGAAGACATTTCAAATATTCTGAGCACATCAACTAGGGAACCTAATATCACTTAATATTCTTTCAAAAAAGGCCATTCCTACCCCTTCTTTACTATGAGCAAGAAAAATGTATTTTATTTCATAGACAGATTTTTTAAAAAGAGTTTGAAGTACTGTCAGAGAAGTCAACTTATTCTGGACTTAATAAAAGCTTAAGGGGTCCTACCTGAATTAATTTCTTGGGATTCTTGAATTTAAACCAGTAATACAAGTTACTCTAAAACATTTTGCATAAAACCAACAATTTACTCTGTTAAATAAAAAAGTATTGACTCCTTACTTATGATTGTTTTAGCTATCACATTATTTTTGGTGAATTAATAGGGGTTTTATAGCAGATCATCATTCTTGAATTCACCATTTTATTATTTTAAAAATCATTTTATTGGGGGCTCTTACAGCTCTTATAACAATCCATATATCCATTGTATCAAGCACATCTGTACATATGTTGCCACCATCATTTTTTATTGTTTTTTTAAGGGCTCATACAACTCTTATCACAATCCATATATATATATATCAATTGTGTAAAGCACATTTGTGCATTCATTGCCCTCATCATTCTCAAAATACTTGCTCTCCACTTAAGCCCCTGGCATCAGCTCCTGACTTTTTCCTCTCTTTCCCCACTCCCCCCTACCACCACCATTTTCTAAACTTTTCCTTTCTGTTTGAGCCCTTGATATTAGCTCTTTCCCCCTCCTTCCCACCCTTGATAAATTATAAATGATTTTTTTCATATCTTACACTGACCATTGTCTCCCTTCACCCACGTTCCTGTTGCTCTTCCCCTTGGAGAGCGGTGTTAATATGTCGATCATTGTAATCGATTCCCTCTTTTCTGCCCCCACTTTCTCCCTACTCTCTTGGTATCACTACTCCCATTTCTGTTCCAGAGGGGTTTATCTATCCTGATTCTGTGTGTCGAGAGCTCTTGTCAGTACTGGTATATATACTCTGGTCTAGCTGGATTTGTAAGGTAGAGCCGGGGTCATGACAGTTGGAGGGAGAAAGCATTAAAGAACTAGAGGAATGTTGTGTCTTTCTTTGGTGCTATACTGCACCTTGGCTGACTTGTTCCTTCCTTGAGATCATTCTGTGAGAGGATGTCCAATGTCTACAGATGAGTTTGGGGTCTCCACTACGACCTCCTGGTTCTCAACAATATGATTATTTGTTTTGGGTCTTCTGATGCCTGTAACCTGATCCCGTCGACACCTCGTGATCAGACAGGTTGGTATGCTTCTTCCATGTGGGCTTTGTTGCTTCTGAGCTAGATGGCTGCCTGTTTACCTTCAAGCCTTTAGGACCCCAGATGCTATATCTTTTGATAGCCAGGCACCCACCATCCAATTTCATAACATTTGCTTATGCACTCATTTTGTATTCAACGATCATATTGGGAGGGTGAACATAACAGAATGCCAGGTTGTTAGAACAAATTGTTCTTGCATTGATGGAGGGCTTGAGCCAGAGGTCCAAAGTCTGTCCACTTCCACAATATGTTGCCATATTAATATATGTACATATGTAAATATATTTATATATGAGGATGTAGAAATAGATCTATGTCCATATATGCATAGGTTTAGTATTAAGGTAGCAGATGGACATTGGGCCTCCACTCAAGTACTCGCTCAATGCAAGAACACTTTGTTCTATTAAACTGGCATTCCATGATGCTCACCTTCCTCATACAATTGCTGAAGACAAATGGGTGCATAAGCAAATGTGGTGAAGAAATCTGATGGTGCTCGGCTATCAAATGATACAGCATCTGGGGGACTTAAAGGCTTGAAGGTAAACAAGCGGCCATCTAGCTCAGAAGCAACAAAGCCCACATGGAAGAAGCACACCAACCTGTGTAATCACGAGGTGTCGAAGGGATCAGGTATCAGGCATCAAAGAACAAAAAATCAAATCATTGTGAATGAGGGGTAGTGTGGAGTGGGAACCCAAAGCCCATCTATAAGCAACTGGATATCCCCTTACAGAAGGGTAGTGGGGAGGAGACCAACCAGTCAGGGTGCAGGGAAGCAACAATGAAACACACAACTTTCCTCTAGTTCTTTAATGCTTCCTCCCCCCTACCTATGATCTCAATTCGACCTTACAAATCTGGCTAGACCAGAGGATATACACTGGTACAGATAGGAACTGGAAACACAGGGAATCCTGGACAGATGAACCCTTCAGGACCAGTGGTGAGAGTGGCGATACTGAGGGGGTGGAGGGAAGGTGGGGTGTAATTGGGGGAACCAATTACAAGGATCTACATATAACCTCCTCCCTGGGGGACAGACAACAGAAAAGTGGATGAAGGGAGACTTCGGACAGTGTAAGACAGGACAAAATAACAATAATTTATAAATTATCATGGGTTCATGAGGGAGGGGTGGGCGAAATGAGCTGATACCAAGGACTCAAGTAGAAAGCAAATATTTTGAGAATGCTGATGGCAACAAATATGCTTGACACAATGGTGTATGTATGGATTGTGATAAAGAGTTGTACGAGCCCCCAATAAAATGGTTTTAAAAAAATAACTGTAAAAGTCCCCAATAAAATGATTTTTTTTAACAGTTAGGGGTGTTAGAATTATCTGACACAAATTTTGAAGTAGTTTTGATAAAAATGCTTTCAAGAGCAATTACAAACACACTTGAAGTAAAAAATGGAGCAAACGAAAAAGACTTGGGAAAAACCTACACTTTATTTCACTATGCATTTTGAAAAATTGATGTCAACTTCTGCAGAGATGAAAATAGACTCACTTGGGAAACATTAAAAAATAAAAAGAGCTGTACAATCCATCACCACAATCAATTTTAGAAATTTTCTTCTTGTACTCATTCTTAGTTTCACTTCATTTCACCCAACCTCTCTTGCTATACCCCCAAGAAACCATTATTTCGGTTACTATCTTTATAGATTTACCAATCTTGGTTTCATATCCAGAAAACCCCACAAAAACAACAACAAAATAAACCAGTGTAAACATTCAATAGAAAAGAAAGCACAAACTATTAAAAACTAGAACAAACTTTCTTTACTCTTTTATTTATAGAGACTTTTTTTGGGGGGGGGGGTAATTTCAGAAGGCTTCAGTTTTTTTTCTAGCTGTTATTTTTGTATAACGAAATTTAAAAAATATCCTTAGTCTCATCTTCCTATGTCATATTTTACTGTATGGTTTATCAGCTTTATTTCAAGGTGAGAGGTGAGATGGAAAGGAATGACATGTCTACTGTGGAATTTAAGAGAGTCCCAGTATAAACCCTAATACTACCCTTAGTAAGGGAGTAAAGTTCAAAGACCGAGGTAGGGGAAGAGATTTTCCAGTTCATGTACCGCGTCTAAAGATCTTAAGTACTGCCAATATGGGAATAGGGGATTTATCTAAATTCTTAGGTCCTGTTATCATCTAGTTCAAAGGGCCCCGGAATGACTAAAAGCCACAGGAATGTGCTTACTACTCTGAAAACACAACGGAAATGGCTGTGGAAGTATCAGTTTTGTGATTGTACCTTTCCAACAATATATGTGTAAAAAATAGTATATCATGAATATTTAAATTAAATTGTCAAAGATTTCAGGATGAAAACCCAGTTGATATCTAACTAAGGAGAAGAAACAATTTCACATAAAGTCACACAAACACTAGCCTATACCTCATGTATTATTCTCAACTCTTGGAAAAAATCAAACTTAAGAATTAAAGATAAATGTGTCCATGTTTCTGGAAGATCAAAAGAAGAGATGCTCCAGAGGGATATACACTGGTAGATAAGAACTGGAAACACAGGGAATCCAGGATGGAAGAACCCCTCAGGACCAGCGCTGAGTGTGGCAATAATGGGAGAGTGGGGGGAAGATGGGGTAGAAACGGGAACCGATTACAAGGATCTACATATAACCTCCTCCCTGGGGGATGGACAACAGAAAAGTGGGTGAAGGGAGATGTCAGACAGTGTAAGGTATGACAAGATAATAACAATTTATAAATTATCAAGGGTTCATGAGGGTGAGGAGAGGGGAAAAATGAGGAGCCGATACCAAGGTCTCAAGTAGAAAGAAAACGTTTTGAGAATGATGGCAACAAATGTACAAATGTGCTTGACACAGTGGATATATGTATGGATTGTGCTAAGAGTTGCATGAGCCTCCAAGAAAATGATTTTTTTTAAAAGAAGAGATGCTATTAAGAAAATATTTTAGTCTTCGACGTTCTTAAAAGTTCTCTAAGGGGACATACTGTTGAAGTTCTGTGTAACATGAAAATAGAGATACAGAGCATGATCTAATAAATGCAATTCCCAGTGGCTCTAGTTCTGTTTAAACTGATAGCATTTCACAGAGTATAGAACTAGTACATAATCAAATGACTCCATTTAAATGAAGTAAGGATTCATTTCATTAGCTACTTTGCAGGAACAACTCTGGCAATTGGTTTCATACAGGGAAGATTTAGAATAATACGACTTGAGCAAAGTGGCAAAGGAAACCTATCTTAAACATGCTGGTGGTCAGGTGGCAACAAATTGACCTTCCTATCAAGGATCCTGATAATTGGGTGCTGCACAGGGGGAAACTACAGGAAACAAAAGAGGTGGTTTATTAATTAATGTTTACATATCTAATATCAGTGTCCTAGGAGGATACCAGGTGTTATTGAATCACCATTTTGTTGGATACTCAAATTTTTAATTACTAGAGTGCTTTAATGAGCCAGTAAAATGATTAAGTGTTGGTGGCCATTTAAAATTGTGCTTGCAACTGTCTTTGGGAAAAGACAGTACCAGGGGAAAACCTACTTTAGCTCTGGAAATAATACTAGAGTCCTGTATTTTTTTCAAGCTCCAAAAACATTTTATTATTTCTCAAGTGATGGGCTGATTGAGAATATAACATATTTAAAAATTGCTAACACATTAAAACAAAACAAAACCCTGGT